TTTTTAAGTTAATGAGATAAAAGTGTATTAACCAACTAGACATAATAAGCATCTCTTGACTACTTCATCCAACCACAGTAAAATATACATTTTTTTCAACCTCACATGGAACACTCACCAAATTATACCACATTTTGAATCATACAACACATCTCAACAAATTTCAGAGAGTAGAAATCATATAATATCCATTCTCAGATCTCAGTAGAATTAATCTAGAGAAAAGCAATAAAAAAATAATTGGAAAATTCTAAAATATGTGGAATTTAAACAGCACACTTATAGATAACACATGGGACAAAGAAGAAATATCAAGAGAAAGTTTTTAAATATTTTGAATTAAATGAAAACAAAAGCACAACTTATAAAAATTGTGGGATGCAGCAAAAGCTATGCTTAGAGGGAAATTTATAGCATTAGATGTACATATTGGAAAAGAAGAAAGGTCTAACATCAAGAAGTTCCCATCTTAGGAATCTAGAAAAAGAAGTGTGTATTAAATCCCAAGTAAACAGAAGAAAAGGTATTATAAAAATTTGGAGTAGAAATCAGTGAAATTGAAAGCAGAACAAAAATCAGTGAAACTGAAAGCTGGTTCTTTGGGAAAAATCTACTATAAATTTCTACTGCTATAGAAATGAAAGAAGGCTATCACTACAGATCCCAAGAACATTATAGTAAAGGAATACTGTGGACAATCTATACCTACAGACTTGATAGCCTAGATGAAATGTACTGATTTCTTCAAGGAAACAATCTGCCAAACTCTGCAAAAAGGAATAGACTGTCTGAATAGATTTACCTATTAAAGAAATTGAATCAATAATTAATAACTTTCTGAACCAGGAAGGACCAAGCCCTGATGGGTTCACTGGTGAACCAAATACTGAAGGAAAAAAATTATACCAATTCTCTATAACTTCCTGAAGACAGAAGCAGAGGGAATGCTTTCTGACTCATTTTTTATGCCATTATTACCTTGTACCAAAACCAGACAAAGCTATTATAAGCAAACTATAGACCAGAATCTCAACTTAATATAGATGTAAAAATCCTCAATACAATATTAGCAAGTTGAATCTATAATGTATAAAAAGAATGACACAGCTAACCAAATGAGAATTTATCCCAGGTGTGCAAAGCTTGTTCAACATCAAAAAATCAGTATCTTATCACTACACTAAAGAAGAAAAAAAAAATTATGACTGTCAATAGACACAGGAAAAAAAATACTTGACACATCCAATACCTATTCATGATAAAAACTCTTAAGTAAATTAAGAATAGAGGAAAATTTCCTCAACTGGATATAGAATATCTAGAAAAAAATCTACAGCTAATATCATATTTAATGGTGAGAAAGCTTTCCCACTAAACAAGGCAAGGATGTACCTTCTTATCACTTCTTTTAAACATTGTACTACTGCAAGCCTTAGTAATGTAATAAGACAAGAAGAGAAGTAAAGGGTATACAGATTGTTAAAGAATAAATAAAATTATCTTTGTTAGTAGATGTCATGATCTTTTCCTTAGAAAATCCAAAAGAACCAAAAAACAATTCCTGGCCTGGTATGGTGGTACACACTGTAGTCCCAGCAGCTCAGGAGGCTGAGGCAGGAAGATCAAAAGTTCAGAGCCAGCCTCAGCAACTTACCAAGATCCTGAGCAAATTTAGCAAGATGGTGTCTCAAAAAAAAAAAACAACAAAAAAAGAAAAGATGTTTGGGAATGTGGCTAAGTGGTTGAGCGCCTCTGGGTTAAATCCCCAGGACCAAAACAAAACAAAAAATAAGAACTCCTGTAACTAATAAACAACTATGAAAATATTGCAGGATACAAGGTTAAAGTACAAACAATCACTTTCCTATATACTAGCAATGAGAAAGTGGAATTTGAAATTTAAAACATGAAACATTTATATTAGCACCCCCCAAAATGAAATACTTATGTATACATTTAACAAAATATGTACAAAATCCCTGTGAGTAAAACTACAAAATTTAGATGAAAACAATCAAAGGATAATGAAATACATGGGCAAATATTCCAGGTTCATGGATAATATTGTCAAGATGTCAGTTCTTCATCTTGATTTGTAATTTAATGCAATTCCAATCAAAATCCCAGCAAGTTATTATATGGGTATTGACAGACCGATTGTAAAATTTATATGGAGAATCATTAGACTCAGAATAGTCAACATAATATGGAAGGAGAAAAACAAAGTTGAAGAACTGGCACTACTTAACTTCAAAACCTGTTATAAAGTCACAGTAATCTAGACACTATGGTGTTGGCAAAAGAGTAGACATTTAGATCAAAAGAATAGAACAGGGAGCTCAGAGACAGATCCACATAAATATAGTAAATTGATTTTTGACAAAATAGCAAAGTCAATACAACAAAACAAAGATAGTCTTCAAAAAATGGTACTGAAATAGCAACGCACGGTGGTGCATGCCCGTAATCCCAGCAATTCAAGAGGCTGCGGCAGGAGGATTGCAAGTTTGAGGACAGCCTCAGCAATATAGAGACCCTATCTCAAAAGAGAGTTGGCTCAGTGATAAAACACCCCTGGGTGCAATTCCCAGTACCAAAAAAAAAAAAATCTAGATACAGATCTTCATAAAAATTAATGTGAGCTGGATATGGTGGCATATATCTGTAATCCCAGCAATTTGGGAGCTTAAGGCAGTAGGATTATTGGAGGCCTGGGCATCTTAGTGAGCCCCTATCTCAAAATAAAAAATAATGTGACTCAATAATATGGCACCCCTGGGTTCAGCCTCCGTTATTGAAAAAAAAAATTGAATTAGAGGCCTAAATGTAAAAAGTATAGAACTAGGAGAGAAACCCAAGATAACTTTAGATATTGTGATAACTTTTTAGATACCACACCAAAATCATGATTCATATAAGAAATGATGAAATCGCTGGGCAAGGTGGCACATGCCTATAATCCCAGCAGCTCGGGAGGCTGAGGCAGGAGGATCTTGAGTTCAAAGCTAGCCTCAGCAATGGCGAGGCGCTTAGCAACTCAGTGAGACCCTGTCTCTAAATCGAATACAAAATAGCGCTGAGGACATGGTTCAGTGGTTGAGTGCCCCTGAGTTCAATTCCCAGTACTTCCTCCAAAATGGTGATGTTGAAGCTGAGTAAGGTGGTACACACCTGTGATCTCAGCGACCCAAGGCTGAGGCAGGAAGATCACAAGTGAGAGAGCAGCCTCAGCAATTTAGCCAAACCCTGTCTCAAAATAAAATAAAAAGGGCTAGGGTTGTGACTCAATGGTGGAGGTCTCCTGGGTTCAACCCCCAGTACCACTACTAAGAAAAAAAAAAAAAAATGATGTTGAGCCATATTTATTGGCATACAAAGATATCTCTGATTCTGTTAAAAAATATTTTTTAGTTGTAGATGGACACAATACCTTTATTTATTTATTTATTTATTTTTATGTGGTGCTGAGGATTGAACCCAGTGCCTCACCTGTGCTAGGCAAGTGCTCCACCACTGAGTCACAACCCCAGCCCTAGCTCTTGTTTTTAAAATGAAAAAAGCAACTTTCAAGAGAGTGAGTATAATATAATCTCATTTTAAAATTTTTTTTTTAGTTGTTGATAGACTTTTATTTTATTTGTTTATATGGGGTCCTGAGAATTGAACCCAGTGCCTCATACATGCCAGGCAAGTGCACTACCACTGAGCCCCAGCCCCTATAATCTAATTTTTATGCAGGAAAAAATTATATATTTGCATATACATAAAAAAAAAGTCAGAAGAACCTTATACAAAATTGGAGGATAACATTAGCACCCTTAGTTTTCTCAAATCCACTAGCATTTTTCTAGATCTATTTATTTTTGTACCATTAACTATTACTATTAATTTTGACCACTGGAAAATCTAATTATCCTATCCTAGGTATAAATAAATTATACCTATAAATAAGTTACCTCTTTAGTTCAACAAAAACAAGTCTGGAGTTTTTTAAAGGAACTTTTAAAGAAAACTGTAAATAAAAAGCAAAGTACAAACATAGGAACCAAAGTATTTATAGGACATAAATTATGTTTACATTTTCCTAGAAGTAAAAGTCGGCCAGCTGGCTTAACTGATGCATTTAATGAGGCCATAAAGTCCTTGTGGTAGTCCTTTATACAGGCATCTCTAACAAGTCCCATAAAAGTCAGATTTTTTTTGATTCAGGAATACATTTGGGAATATTATAGAAGAAATGGAATGACATGGAAAATACGTATAAAATGTGAAATTAAAATCAGATTATAAAACAGTAACATATACAGCTGGGTGTCATGGCACATGCCTGTAATTCCAGCTGCTCAGGAGAGTAAAACAGGAGGATCATAAGTGCAAGACCAGCCTGGGCAACATGTCAAGACCCTGTCTCAAAAAGAAAACAACCAAATGATATAGAGAAGATCCTAATTTTCTTTAAGTTATAGGATAATACAATGCATAGAAAAAAAGAAAAAACACACCAGAGACACACACCCCAAATTATAGTAGTAATTATCTTTAAATGGAGGAATTACAGTTAAATTTAAATTTCTTTGTAAAGCTAGGGATATGTCTCTGTAGTGGGGCACTTGCCCAGCATGTGCAAGATCCTTGGTTAAATTCTCAGCAATGCCAAAAAATATTATTTGTGCTTTTCTACATTTCTAAATTTTCTGTAGGAACATTTACAAACTCAAATCATTTTGAGTCAGGACTTCCCAAAGTTTCTGAGGCTGGCTTTGAACTTGTGATCCTCCTGCTTTACTCTCCAAGTAGCTGAGATGCCTGTACTACCATAGCTGGCAAGTTTGATTTAAAATCTGAGCAACTAAGTATAACTGAAAGCTCAATCCCTGCCCCCAATGCCAAACAATGCCAATAATAAGGACATAGTTTTGAGAAAAGGGAAGAAGAAAGTTTATTGCTTTGCTAGCAAAGGAGAAACATAGGGGACTCCTGTCCCAAAGGCTGTGACTCACCTGATCAGGAGGGGCAGGGGGGTGGTGTTAAAGGAACTCTTCAAGGGTTACATTCCAGGTGTGCTCTGGTAGCAGGTCCCTGGGTGCCCTGATGGTGTTTTGGGATTCACTTGTTAATTTGGGAGATATTCATTTCCCAAATCCCCAGCAGGCATCTCCTTCCTTCAGTGGGTGTGTTCAAAGTCAATTAACTAGGAGAAGAAAACATAACACTGTCTCCCTAATCTTGTTAGGAAGCAGGAGGGAGGGGGGAGGGGGAGGAGAAGAGAGAAAAAAATTTTTCTAAAAAAAAAATAAGCCTTAGAGCAATAAGGGCTATATTCAGAAGGTGAAGGGACCACTGTTAAGTAAGGATAGCATATTGTTAATGTTTTGTCTAATCTGTAAATGCTAAATTTTATTTGTACCACCTATATTAAAAGGTCTCACTGCTGAAATTCCCTATATCTGAAGAGAGTTATATATCTATTCATTCAAATCTTCATGGAGTTTCTATTATGTTCCAGACACTATTGTAAATAGTTGGGATATAGTAATCAACAAGACAGAGTTCATACTGTTATGAAGCTTATTTTCTGATCAGATTGTTAATCATGAAAATTCTATAATGGGTGGTATAATGTATCATTTAGTAACCATAAATGATTTAGTTTACCAGCTCTCAGGATTAAAAAATTTAGAATAAGCATCATAAGATTAGTGTAGTATAGATTCATGGTGGGTTTTTTGTTTGTTTGTTTGTTTTTGTTTTCTTTTTTGGTACTGGGTATTGAACCCTGGGGGTGCTCTACCTCTGAGCCGAGCCCTTTTTTATTTTTTGTTTTGAGATAGGGTCTCTCTGAGTCACTGGGATTATAGGCTCCCCAGCCCTTTTATTTATTTATTTATTTATTTATTTTATTTCTTAGTTGTAGTTGGACACAATATCTTTATTTATTTATTTTTATGTGGTGCTGAGGATTGAACCCAGGGTCTTGCACATCCTAGGCAAGTGCTCTACCACTGAGCCACAATCCCAGCCCCCTCCCCAGCCTTTTTTATTTTTTATTTTGATACAGGATCTGGCTGGGTTGTTGAGGGACCTCCTAAATTATTGAGGTTGGCCTCAAACTTGTGATCCTCCTGCCTCAGTCTCCTGAGTCACTGGGATGACAGGGATATACTACCATGCTCAGCTATAGTAGTTGGGTTTTTAGAAAACATGTCAATTGGGAATAATATGGTGGTTTTTTTTTTTGTTTTGTTTTGTTTTTCAGTTTTAAAAAAGCCCCCTGTTTTGGTTTCTCAGCATGAAAGTCATCAAGCAATCTCCCATATTCCAACTGGACAACCTCTTTCCCCAAATATGGCTCCAGGTATGAAGTCTTATTCTTTTGGCATTTCATTTAAAAACCATCTTATTTGTCATGTATTGTTATATAGTGAATAAAACATGTCATTTAGCAGTATAGTGAAGTAGCATTCATTTTTCAAAGTAATGTTATGCTTTTTAATGACTAGTAAAAGCTCAGGGAGAAATATAATTATCTAAAACTGCACTTTGTTTATTGGATTGTTAGAGTCTTTTCTTAAGAGCAGAATTATTTGTTGTTCCACTCTGAACTATATTCCCTTTCATCTCTTCCAGGCTTCACAGATTTTTTTTAAAGACAGGGTCTTGCTGTGTTGCCTATGTTGCTCAGACTGGCCTTAAACTCTCAATTCCTTTTCCTCAGCCTCCTGAATAGTTGGGACTACAGGCATGTGTCACCATGCCTGACCTTCAAGCTATATAAATTAACCTTCCTTCAGAATGTGTTCATAGAACTGGTGGTGTTGCTCTGTGGTAAAAACTGTATTCATAGTTATCTTATTGAGGCCTTCTACAAATTATTACTGTGTAGAAGGCCTTACTTGGTGCTTATGAATATGTGTGTGTTTGTGTGTGTGTGTGTGTGTGTGTTTTGTGGTGCTGAGGATTGAAAAAAACAGGGCCTTGTGCATATGAGGCAAGCACTCTACCAACTGAGCTATATCCCCATCCCATGTTTGTTTTCTATTGAATACCTATTTGATTTTATAGAGGGTTCTAAAATGAGAATTATTGAAAGGAGGTGCTTTGGGGAAGATCATGGAAAGGAAAGATATAGAAATCAGTGGTACAAGAGGTTTATGATTCCAAAATTAATAGTAATAAGGATTTAATCAAGATTTTGATGAGGGGAAAAATGAGAGGTGGGAGAAAGAGAGGTTATATCAAGAAGATACTGCTAAGAAAGAATCTAGAGTTAATTGTGAGTCATTGTATAGATGAAGGCAATGAAGAAACTAGAAATTTCAAAAGCCTTATTGGATTTTAGAGAATTTTGACAGCAATATGGAGTTTGGAGAGAGGAAAAGAAATGGATATCATTGCTATATTAATGTTTGGATTTTTACTGTGTATATATCTCTTTGGTGAATAGGTTTATAATTGGTAATGGACATACTCATTTGTGAATGATTGGCAAACTTTGCATAGCTGAAACCACACTGGTAATTAAAGTAAAGCTTAAAAAACAAACAACAACAACAACAAAAAGACTAAATGACTACCCAATGTCAGATAATAATGTTTCTTAACTTTTCTAAGAGTGGGTCTCATGAAATTCTTCTGTAGAAGAATTAACGTTCTTTTAATTTGATGTTTTTATACCATAGGTTCATATGTAAACCACAATGGAAATCCTGGCACTTCAAAACAGAACCCCTCTGACCCTCTTCAGCGTTTAATTCCAGGCTCAAATTTGGAGAGTGAACACAGAATTCAAACAGATATATTAAAGCAGGCCACTAAGGATAGAGTCAGTGATTTCCACAAATTGAAGCAAAGTAAGAATCAATTGATGAATACTATGTTAAAAAGATTTCTTTGAATATAATGTTTATAGGACTGAATCAAGGTCTTCATTATTACATTCTTTAATGATTCTGTAGAGAAGTTATATGTATATAAAGTATGATAGTGTTAAAATTTAAAAGAAAAGCAGGATTATTTTATTTTTTATTTGTTGAAAAGCAGGTTTTAAATGGGTAGAAACAAAGAAATATTTAAAAGCTGATCATATTATTTATTGTTAAATTATAAATTTCAGGTGAGTTATTTTTTTTTAAATACTATTCTTAAGAATTTAAGCTTATTTAGAGAAATGAGAAAAGATATACTTTGTTAGGTTAATGAATGGAAACTTTAAGAGGGAAGGAAAGTAAAATAATTTTGAGAAATGGAGCATTCTGGGGGAAACATACACTTTGGAGAGAATTGCCATAGTGGGTAGTCAATACTACTTCCTCCTCTCCTTTCAATTACAGTTTGCTTCATTTAGGTGTTAGGAGAGACATGAAACAGATTGAAAAAATTCCTAGCACTCTTGTAGTGAACTATGGCTGCTTAATTATTTCAGAGGTATTGATTTTGATAAAGCGACAATTTCTGTTAATCTGTATAACTCTCTGGTTGGTGGGTTCTCAGGAAATATAAGAAAAACCTCTGGTAGCTGAGTAAATTTGGAGCTAGAGGGTATAGCTTTAGGTCAGCTCCCTTAAACTGTGCTTTTCATTTTTACTTTTCCTGTCTTCTTTCTACCTTCAATTCTGAATAGTCAGAATATCTAAAAGCTCTAGTTTGTCTTTTTGATGGTTTCTATGATAACTTTTCAGAGTAGTATGTAGTCAGTTATTTGTATATAGGTTGCTTATAGGTTGAAAACTGGACAGTGTTACTATTTTTGAATTTATTCAAAATTTATTTGTTGGTCTTTTAACAAGTATTCATGTTTTTACACATATATAAATATATAGTTTGCATACATTGACTTCCTTGTTTTTTTTTTTTTAATACCGGGGATTGAACTCAGAGGCACTCCACCACTGAGCCATATTCCCCAGCCTATTTATTATTTTTGTATTTTGAGAGAGGGTCTCACTAAGTTGCCCATGCTGATCCTCCAGCTTGTGATTCTCCTGCCTCAACCTTCCAAATTGCTGGGATTGCAGGTATGCACCACCATACCTGGCAAAGCCTATTGACTTTTAAACTCTTAACTACAAATTATTTTCCATGAAGCATAAATCAATGCATATACTATTTTTTTAAATTTATTTTTTAGTTGTTGAGGGACCTTTATTTTATTTTTTTAAAGAGAGAGAGAGAGAGAGAGAGAGGTAGAGAGAGAGAGAATTTTAATATTTATTTTTTAGTATTTGGCGGACACAACGTCTTTGTTTGTATGTGGTGCTGAGGATCGAATCCGGCTGCACGCATGCCAGGCGAGCGCACTACCGCTTGAGCCACATCCCCAGCCCGAGGGACCTTTATTTTATTCATTTATTTGTATGTGGTGCTGAGAATCCCAGTGCCTCACACATGCAAGGCAGTTGCTCTACCACCGAGCCACAACCCCAGCCCTGTACATACTATTTTTTAATTACTTTAATTAAAATTATTTCTTGTGGGCTGGAGTTGTGGCTCAGTGGTAAAGTCCCTGCCTAGCATGCATGAGCACTGGGTTCAACTCTCAGCATGCATATAAATAAATAAATTAACTGATTAATTAAAGGCTCATCAACAACTAAAAAAAAATTAAAAATAAAATTAAAAAAATGAAATTATTTCTTGAATGCCTTTTATCAAATAGTTATATACTTGTCATTGTGTGTGCACTGGGGATTGAACTCAGGGCCTCCAGCATGCTAGGCAAGTGCTGTACTACAGAACTACATCCCGGCCCTTTTTACTTTATTTTGAGAGTCTGGCCTTGAACTTGTGTTCCTCTTGCCTCAGCCTAGTAGATGTGATCACAGGCATGCAACATACACACATACACACACATATACACAAATACATTTACATTTATTAAGTTGTACTTAAGCAATAAGAATAGTTAATTTAGTTCTACTTTGATTCTCTCTTTTTGTAATACTGGGGATTAAACCCAGGGGCATTCTACCACTGAGCTAATCCCCAGCCCTTTTTGTTTTTTAGTTTTGAGACAGGGTCTTGCTAAGTTTCTGAGGCTGGCTTTCAACTTGGAATCCTTCTGCCTCAGCCTTCTAAGTAGCTGGAGTTACAATGTGCAGTAGGCTCTACTTTACTTTCTTACTGATTATTTAGATTTCTTTGTATTTTCTCATTTTAGTTGATTGTGACTATCTTTTTTTCTTTTAATTATTT